GGCATCGTCAATTCAAATGTGATCAGACTTTGGTGGAAACAACTCCACTTCCAGGGCAACCCCACTCTGATATTGATGAACACATCACCCAGTAAGTGGAGGTTGCCATTTTGGAAAATTGCTGCATAACCATTTTCCAGCTAGCCCAAAATGTCAAGGTGAGTGTGAGGTCCGTGGAAAAAATCATCCAAGATCCTCTTCACATGCATAAGGTCATCAGCTGGGGACCTCTTCTCTCAACACCAACTGCTGCCCTGGGCCAGAGTGGAGAGGGGAGCAGAAGTCAATTCCACCTTGTCTCCTGTGCTATGTTAATAATATAATATAATATACTGTATTTACATATAATATTTATATGTATATAATACTAATAAGATATTATAATTATATATTTATATTATATTTTGCTCATTCGTTCAGTCGTTTCCGACTCTTCGTGACTTCATGGATCAGCCCACGCCAGAGCTCCCTGTCGGCCATCACCACCCCCAGCCCCTTCAAGGTCAATCCAGTCACTTCAAGGATACCATCCATCTACCTTGCCCTTGGTCGGCCCCTCTTCCTTTTTCCTTCCATTTTTCCCCAGCATCATTGTCTTCTCTAAGCTTTCCTTTCTTCTCATGATGTGGCCAAAGTACTTCATCTTTATATTATTTGTAATATTACTAATAATATTACAATATAATGGTATAATAAAATATAGTAGTATTTAATACTGATATTGTACTATGCTGATACTGAGAACTGGGAAGCCCTGGCCCTTGAGCGCTCCAGCTGGAGGTCAGCTGTGACCAGCAGTGCTGCAGAATTCGAAGAGGCACGAATGGAGCGTGAAAGAGAGAAACGTGCCAAGAGGAAGGCGCGTCAAGCCAACCCCGACCGAGACCACCTTCCAACTGGAAACCAATGCCCTCACTGCGGGAGAAGATGCAGATCAAGAATAGGGCTCCACAGTCACCTACGGACCCACCAGAATACTGATCCTGGAAGACTATCCTACTCGGCCAACGAGGGATCGTCTAAGTAACTATGCTGATAATATAATATATATTGTGTATGTGTATGTATATATATGTTTGTGTGTGTGTGTGTCTGTCTATCTATCTATCTATCTATCTATCTATCTATCTATCTATCTATCTATCTATCTATCTATCTATCTATCTTGTAAGCCATTCTGTGTCCCCTTCGGGGTGAGAAGGGCGGCATATAAATGCCGTAAATAAATAAGGGATCCGCTCGCCAGGTCTCCTGTCTGCTCACACCTTTCCAGAAGCAGTAACGGGTCGAATGCTCTCAGGCTCTGTTGACAATGATGTGCCATGGAAACCAGGAGGACTTTTTCCTCAGACTTATCCCACAGGATGAAAGCTGGGTCCATCGCTCTGATCCTGAGACTAAAGTCCAGCCGATGCAATATAAGCATTCTGACTCACCACCTCCAAAGAAGGCACGTGCCCAACTCTTAGCAGGCAAGGTCATGCTCACAGGATTTTGTGACCAGCACGGAGTAGGACTGATGGATTTCCTAGCAAAGGGGACCATGACCACTGGGGCAGACTAGGCTTCACTGCAGGAGGCTATCAAAACCAAGAGACAATGTGGCATGCTCCCTAAAGGTGTCTGCCTTCTGCAAGACAATGCCCCAGTCCACAACTCACATGTTGCCCAAATGGAAGAAGCATGCTCCCGTGGCTTTGAAATTCTACCACATCCCCCTTATTCACCAAGGAATCTATCAAACTATTATAATTTATTCATCATTTATTATTAATGTACTCGACGAGCTAAAAATAGATGTGCTATGTTAAGCATATACAAAGAATATTAACACATGGTATCTTGAAATGATTTTAAACAGCTGATTTTAAAGTAGATAAAACTGATTTTAATGTTGGGTATATTTATAGTTATTTTATGTCCTGGCATGGAATGCTTGCCATATATGTGTTGTGCTCTGCCCTGGGTCTCCTTTGGGTTTTGTTTTTTTTTTTGTCCTGTCAGGAGTGACTTGACAAACTGCAAGTTGCTTCTGGTGTGAGAGAATTGGCCGCCTGCAAGGACGTTGCCCAGGGGACACCTGGATGATTTGATGTTCTTGTCATCCTTATGGGAGGCTTCTCTCATGTCCCCGCATGAGGAGCTGGAGCTGATAGAGGGAGCTCATCCGCCTCTCCCCGGATTTGAACCTGCAACCTGTCGGTCTTCAGTCCTGCCTGCACAAGGGTTTAACCCACTGTGCCACTGGGGGCACCTCACCTTTGGAGTGAGAAGGGTGGAATATAAATGTTTCATATAAAAAAATAAGAAAAATTCCACTATTGTGACCTCAATTCAGTTCTTGCAGTTTCCTCTTTTCAATATTCCCCTAATATTTTCCTTTGAACCAAGGTTGGATTTACACTACCATATAATCCAGTTTCTTGATTCAGATTCACTGCTTTTGGATTATATGAGTCTATATTGCCATATAATCTGTCAGAAATATTTAAAAAATAACTGGGTATTATTTATTATAAGCACTGAAAGAGTTAGTAGGCCGAAGCCTGTTAGTCAGTGGGCCAAAGCTAGTGTCGTCCTGAGGAGAGTGAGGTAAACCTCAGTGTGAGAGAAGCCTCATGTGAGAGAGCTCCAGTGTGTACAGCTACTATGTATTTGTTTATTTTTGTGTTATGGAAACCTAAGGAGCCCCCGGTGGCGTAGTGGGTTAAACCCTTGTGCCGGCAGGACTGAAGATCGACAGGTCGCAGGTTCGAATCCAGGGAGAGCGCAGATGAGCTCCCTCTATCAGCTCCAGCTCCTCATGTAGGGACATGAGAGAAGCCTCCCACAAAGATGATAAAACATCAAAACATCCTGGCATCCCCTGGGAATGTCTTTGCAGATGGCCAATTCTCTCACACCAGAAGCGACTTGCAGTTTCTCAAGTCACTCCTGACATGACCAAAAAATGGAAACCTAGTTCTTGTAAATAGTGCAACAAAGAAAAGCCTCCTAAGGAAGATAATACTTCTTATCACTTTGGGATACTGGTACTGGGTCACGCTGCTGATAATAAGTTACTCTGCTGTACATTTATGAGGAGGGTCTTTTGTTATTAAGCCCACTCACCCGACATAACCCAGTTCAAAACAGATGATAAACTGGACTCAGAAACAGGATTATATGGCAGTGTAGATGGGTTTCTGGTCCTAGATCAGGCCTGGGCCAACTTTGGCTCCCCCTCCAGGTGTTTTGGACTTCAACTGCCACAATTCCGAACAGCTCGTAAACTATTAGGCACTGTGGGAGTTGAAGTCCAAAACACCTGGAAGGAAAGCCGAAGTTGGCCCATGCCTGATGTAGAGGCCCCTTCTTGGGAGGCTTTTAAACAGGTTGATTGGCCATGTGTCAGGAAGGCTTAAATTGTGCTTTTCCTGCATGAATGCAGATTAGGTTAGACTAGATAGCCTTTAGAGGTCCCAACTCTATAAATCTTTGGGACCCTTCCTTTCTGAGACCCACCTGGTACTTCTTGCAGACCTTGAAGGCATGGCTGGCGGAACGTTGGGCGGCCCGAGGGAGCTGCAAGAGGGAGAGCTGGTTACTCAAGACGGACGTCTCGCTGGGCAGCGGCTGGGAAGAGAGGAGGAGGAGGAGGCAGAGTGATGGCAAGTCACAAAACACAACAGTGGTTCAGCTATCCAAAGAATTCAAAACCACCCAAAACTATTTTTACATTTGTTAATCATATGTACTATAATTTTAGTCCATTCAAATTATTATTGTTTTTTAAAGGTTGTTTTTGCATTGGTGTCTCTTGTATGCCACCTTGAGATCTTTTCATACGAGATAGAAGTATTAGAAGAATAGGAAAAGGAAAAAAGGAGCAAGAAGAGAAGGAGAAAGAGGGAGGAGAAGAAGAGGAGGAAGAGGAAAAAGAGGAGGGAGGGAGAAGGAAGAACAGAGAGAAGAAGAAAAAGAGAGGAAAAGGAGGAAGAGAAGAGCGGAAGTGCAGAGAAAAATGAAGAAGCAAAAAAGAGGAGGAAGAAGAGTAGAAGAGGAAGAAGGAAAAGAAGAAGAGTGGATGAGGAGAAAAAATGAAGAAGGAAAAAGAGGAAGAAGGAAAAGAAAAAAGAGATGAGCGGAAGAGGAGAGAAAAATAAAGGAGAAGGAAAAGGAGGAGGAAGAGAAGAAGAGGAAGAAGGAAAAGAAAGAAGAAGAATAGAAGAGGAGGGAAAAATGAAGGAGAAGGAAAAAGAGGAGGAAGGAAAAGAAAAAAGGAGACTAGCAGAAGAGGAGAGAGAAATGAAGAAGGAAAAGAGGAAGAAGGAGAAAAGAAAGAAAAGAAGAGCAGAAGAGGAGAGAAAAATAAAGGAGGAGGAGGAAGAGAAGAGGAAAGAAGGAAAAAAAGAAGACAAGAAGAGCAGAAGAGGAGAGAAAAATGAAGAAGCAAAAAAGAGGAGGAAGAAAAGAAGAAGAGGAAGAAGGAAAAGAAAGAAGAGAAAAAAGGCAGAGGAGGAGGAGAGGAAAAGGAAGGAGAACAAAGAAGAGAAGAGAAGGAAGGAGAGGGAAGAGAGAAAAATGAAGGATAAGAAGCAGAGAAGAGGAAAAGAAGGAACGAGTGAGAAGAAAAGGAAGAAGAAAAATAATTCAAAATAAACGGGACCTATTCCATGAAAGACTAAGCAATTCATACCATCCTAACCTTAGGTGGACCACATCCTCCTTTGCAGTAACGCAAAGGTATGTCCTCCTAACAAAAAGCCAATTTTTTCCAGCCTCCTGGAACGTCTGTCCTTTTCCTCTTGTGCGTTTTGCTTAGTGTCCCCCCTTGTTTCCCTTTCTCTCCCCCTCCCCTTGTGGTCAGCTCCTCCCTCCCTGTGTGGCAGGCCACTCTTACCAGGGTCTTGTCTATGATGCAGAACATGTATGTGTCATGGAGGAGGAGGAGGGTGTCCTGCCGGGGGCTGAAGGCCAGGTGGGTGATGGGGGTGTCCCGTTCCAGCCAGTTCCTGTGCAAGCCCGACTGCTGCACCTTCCGGCTCCAGGGAGTGTATTCCCGATTGGCCAGGCTGAACTCAAACAGCTGCAGAAAGGAGGGAGAAGGGAGGAAGGACGTGAGACAGCAGTGTGATGCAGCAGCCAAAAAGGCCAAGGCAATCGTAGGTTGCATCATCAGATTCTAATGTCTGGATCAGGTATGGGCCATCTTTGGCCCTCCCTCCAGCTGTAGGCTGTTAGGAACTGTGGGAGTTGAAGTCCAAAACACCAGAGGGCGCTGAAGTTGGCCCATTTGAATTACTACATCTTTCTTTCATTATTATGTCTTGCATTACATTGCACATAATATAATATTATAATTATATATTTTATATTACACGTAATATTACTAATAATACAGTATAATGGTATAGTACAATATAGTAATATATAATACTGATATTGTACTATGCTAATAATATAATATATTGTACTAGCCGTTCCCTGCCACGTGTTGCTGTGGCCCAGTCTGTGTGTATGTGTTTTGTATGTGTATATATTTGTGTATGTATGTGTTTGTGTGTGTATATATGTGTGTGTGTGTGTATAAATGCATATTGTATATGTGTGCTTGTCTATATGCATATTTGTGTGTATGTATGTGTATATGTATGTGCATATGTATATGTATATATGTGTATATGTATATTTATATGTGTATATTTGTGTTTGTGCATATATATACGTGTGTGTATGAATGTGTGCATGTGTATATGTATATGAGTGTATGTGTATATGTATATATGGTGTATTTTTGGGTTTTTAAGTTTGTTCTGCTGGGGTTTTGTGTTTGTGTGTTTTAGGGGTGATGGACACTTGCTGGACTGTTAGGTATACTGTGTCCAAATTTTATGTCAATTCACCCGGTGGTTTTTGAGTTATATTAATCCCACAAATAAACATTACATTTTTATTTATACAGATGTGTATATATATATATATCTTGTAAGCCACTCTGAGTCCCCTTTGGGAAGAGAAGGGTGGCATATAAATGTTGTAAATAAATAAATAAATAACTGCAGCCGTCCTTCTGCATTCACTGGGGTTACAGGATCCCTGTGACTATGAAAAAAACATAAACAAAGAAATAACTATTTTTGCCCCCTGGTGGTGTTTTAATTTTGTATATTATAATATGTATTTCATAGAAATACGCTTAAATGTGCACATTTATAAAATGTTTACCATGATTATGTGTTTTAACTATGTTGGAACCCACCTTGAGGAGAGGCAGGTAAGAAATCAGAGTATTGTTATCATGATCAACAAACACACACATAAGGGATTCAGTGTTGAGGGGTGTGTCATTTTTAATGTAGCTTTAAATACATTTTATATACTGATGTTCCATGACACACAAGTGTGAGTGTTTCTTAATTTTATATGTTCATATACTTCAATGCAGCTGCTCTATTTTTTTATTTTATGTTGTTTGCAGTTTAGGGCCCCCTGGTGGCGCAGTAGGTTAAACCACTGAGCTGCTGAACTTGCTGACAAAAAGACTGGTGGTTTGAACGCGGGGAGCAGGGTGACTCCCACTGTTAGACCCAGCTTCTGCCAACCTAGCAGTTCAAAAACATGCAAGTGGGAATAGATCAGTAGGGACCGCTTCTGCGGGAAGGTAACAGCGCTCCATGCAGTCCATAGACCTTGGAGGTGTCTATGGACAAGGCTGGCTCTTTGGCTTAGAAACGGAGATGAGCACCAGCCCCCAAAGTCAGACACGACATTTCAGGGGAAATCTTTACCTTTACTAATAAAATCTAGGTCTTCCACAACAACTCTATGGTCACCTTTTGTTGGAAACTGAACACAAAATTGTACTGCAAAACCCAACCAAATCTGAATAATCAAATCCACAAAAGTCAAAACTGCAAAAAAAAAATGTGGAGAGGCAACTGTCCTTCTTACATTTCACTGAAAAAAAGACTTCCAATTGAGAAGAGGAGCTTACCTGCTGATCTGAATGGGCGATGACCAGGTTGTTGGTCAGAGGGTGAATGGCCAAAGCGGAGGCTGGACAGTCGTAGGCAGGAACAGTGCAATGCAGCTAATGCAGAAAGGAAGAGTGTGGTTTAACCATTCATACGATCTAAATCCCCAAACTTTTAAAACCGAGGGCCAGGTCACAGTCCCTCAAACTGTTGGAGGGCCAGATTATAATTTGAAAAAAACATGAATGAATTCCTATGAACACTGCACATATCTTATTTGTAGTACAAAAAACACTTAGAACAATACAATAATTAAAATGAAAAACAATTTTAACAAATATAAACTTAGTATTTCAATGAGAAGTGTGGGCCTGCTTTTGCCTGATGAGATGGGATTTGTTGTTGTTGTTGTGTGCTTTCCAGTCGTTTCAGACTTAGGTTGACCCTGAGCGAGGACTAGGTAAATGACCTTGGAGGGCCGTATTCGGCCCCCGGGCCTTAGTTTGAGGACCCCTGATCTAAATCTTTCAAAACAAGACCATCCAAAAGACAAATATGCCATAAATCAGTTGGCTATTCATATTTTATATTATTATTATTACTATTATTACTATTATTTAAGATCTATTATTATTTGAGAGCATCCTGGTAGCACAACAGGTTAACCACTGAGCTGCTGAACTTGCTGACTGAAAGGTCGGTGGTTCAAATCCAGGGAGCGGGGAGAGCTTCCACTGTTAGGGCCCAGCTTCTGCCAACCTAGCAGTTCAAAAACATGCAAATGTCAGTAGATCAATAGGTGGGAAGGTAACGGTGCTCCATGCTGGCCACATGTCGTAGGAGGTGTTTAAGGACAATGCCGACTCAACGGCTTAGAAATGGAGATAAGCACCACTCTCCAGAGTCAGACACAACTAGACTTAATGTCAGGGGAAAACCTTTACCTTTACCTAAGAGCCCCATTAACTATACTGTGTAGTTCAGGTCTGGGTCAACTTTGGCCCTCCCTCCAGGTATTCTGTACTTCAACTCCCACAATTCCTAACAGCTGATAGGGACCAGATGCTTTTCAAAAATCAAATGTTTCAAACTCCATCCAGAAAGGGAAGCTATGTGGCTCACCTTGGACTCTTCCAAGCTGTAGGCATTGATCTCCCGGTCTCCACTGGCTGCTGCCAACCACTTGCCATCGGCACTTGCAGCCAGCAAGTACACAGCTTCTGCCGTTTCTGCAGAGAAGGACAGATAAGTGAGGCCACAGGACGAAAAGCAAGGATTTCCCGAGATCCTCAGGAAAGGTCCCATCACCTTCACAGCCATATTTTTTCTTGAAGGGTGATTAGATGTCCCTGCCTGTTTTTCTCTCTGCTGTTTTTGCTGTTGCAATTTTAGAATTTTTTCAAGAAGAGTTTGCTCCAGGCACAGTCAGCCCATTGTATGCTAATCAAGGTGGTCAGTTGAAAGATCCACACCTAGCCCAACTTACAAAAGCCCTTTGTCTCACCCTGGTCATTCCACAGATATATAAACCCCTTTTTTCCCAGCTCCGGCAGACCTCACCTCTGAGGATGCTTGCCATAGATGCAGGCGAAACGTCAGGAGAAATGCCTCTAGAACATGGCCATATAGCCCGAAAAAACCCACAAGAACTGAGTGATTCCGGCCATGAAAGCCTTCAACAATACATTCTATTTGCTTTTTAATATATGTACTTGTATTGCAGGGCCCCCTGGTGGTGCAGCGGGTTAAACTGCTGAGCTGCTGAACTTGCTGGCCAAAAGGTCAGCGGTTCAAATCTGGGGAGCAGGGTGAGCTCTTGTTGTTAGGCCCAGATTCTGCCAACCTAGCAGTTTGAAAACATGCAAGTGCGAGTAGATCAATAGGAAGGTAATGGTGCTCCATGCGGTCATGCCAATGGTCACATGACCTTGGAGATGTCTATGGATAACGCCGGCTCTTTAGCCTAGAAATGGAGATGAGCACCACCCTCCAGTCAGACACAACAAGGGAAACCTTTACCTTTACTTACTTGTATTGCATTTTAATAGTTTCAGTATTTACGTTAATATATGTATTTTGTGGTGGTGTCTTTATGTGTGTATTTTATTTTATGGTATGTATTCTATGGTGATGTGCCTGAACACGGTTACACCTGCCTCAAGCTGTGAGAAGCAGCGGGTAACAAATAAAATGTATTATTATTATTATTATTACTTTACTGACCAAAACACAGTATGTCACAGCAAATGAGATCTATATGCTGGATTTCGTATCACAAAATCACAAATCCAACACTTCCCAAGCGTCTAGGACTGTGTGATGTATTTTTGAATGATGTGCGCAGATCCAAGTTAGGTGGCCTTTTGCAGTTGACAGATCGTTATTTTGTCAATGTTTATTGTTTCCAAATGCCAGCTGAGCTCTTTTGGCATGGCACCCAGTGTGCTGATGACCACTGGGACCACCTGTACTGGTTTATGCCAGAGCCTTTGCAATAGTAATTATTATTACTATTATTATTATTGTGTTGGTAGGGTTTCAGAACTGCTTATTACTACTTTAAATTGCACATGGTTGTGCAATTTTGTGGGGATTTAGGGGCATAGCATCCCCCCAAATGTGGAAAATCCATGAGACAACACTTTTCTAGGAATCTTGAGGTCCTCCAGTGTGATTCTATAGTTTAATACTTAATTTAATGCCAAGAGTCTTTTACATGTTCTAACCTACTGCATTTGGCTTAATGTGTGAGTTGCCTTGGGTCCTCGTTCTGGAGACAAGGCAGAATATAGATTATGTTGACAACGATGAAGTCTCTTCTGGCCAAATCCTACTTACCTGTATTAGGGCGGAGAGTGTGCAGGTGTTTGCAGGAATTCCTCGATTTCAGGAGCTTCAGGACGTGGACACAGCCACGATCTGACCCCACAAAGAGCCGGGTGGAATCAGCAGAGAAGAGCAGGCAGTGAGCAGAACGGAGCAGCTTCGGGACATTGGGGACCTTTAGGAAGAGAATGGAAAGGAAGAGAAGGTCAAGAGCAGCGGTTCCCGTATAATTCTTATTACAGGAAGTCCGCAAGTTATTTTTAAGTGTAGCTCCAGCCATATATATTTGCTCTAGGTAAGACACATTATTTCTTTCCCCCTCCCCTTAAAGCATTGCACTTAATTGAAAATATTCCTATTTTAATTAAAGATAAAACACTTCAACAATGGAATAAGAGGAGGTGGGAAGACACCCAGAACCGGATCCATGTATTTCAACTATGTTGTAGTTCACCTCTAGGCAACAGTCTTGGACAGCAATGGCTCCCAAAGTGAACAATTTAAGGTGAATTCAGGTGTCAAACAGGGATGTGTTATTGCCCCAACTTTATTTTCCATCTTCATCGCTATGATACTTCATCTTGTTGATGGGAAGCTTCCCACCGGAGTGGAAAAAATCTATCGGACAAGCTATTTAACCTCAGCAGACTGAAAGCCCAAACAACAGTTCACAACAACATCTGTTATAGAACTCCAATATGCTGATGATAATGTAGTCTGTGCACATTCAGAAGAAGTCCTACAAGCCACTCTAAACGCCTTCGCAGAAGCATACAAGAAGTTCAGCCTCTCATTGAACATCGAGAAAACCAAATTGCTCTTCCAACATTCACCGGCCAATCCCTCTCCAATGCCAGAAACACAGCTTAATGGTGTAACATTAGAAAATGTTGATCATTAACGCTACCTTGGTAGTCACCTCTCCACCAAAGTCAACATTGACACTGAAATACAACACCGCCTGAGCTCTGCGAGTGCAGCAGTTTCCTGAATGAAGCAGAGAGTGTTTGAGGACCGGGACATCCGTAGGAAGACCAAGGTGCTTGTTTATAAAGCTATTGTCCTCCCAACCCTGCTATACGCCTACAGGCGTCACAAGCAACTCCTGGAACGATTCCATCAGCGCTGCCTCCAAAAAATCCTGCCAATCTCTTGGGAAGACATCTATACAAACGTCAGTGTGCTTACAGAAGCAAAGACCACCAGCACTGAAGCAATGCTCTGACACCATCAACTTCGCTGGACTGGCCACGTTGTCTGAATGCCCCCAGTTTCCCAAAGCAGTTACTCTACTCCCAACTCAAGAACGGAAAACGTAATGTTGGTGGACAGGAAGAGACTGAAAGATGGGCTCAAAGTCAACCTTAAAAATTGTGGCATAGACACTGAGAGCCCTGGCCCTTGACTGCTCTAGCTGGAGGTCAGCTGTGACCAGCGGTGCTGCAGAATTTTAAGAGGCACAAATGGAAGGTGAAAGGGAGAAACATGCCAAGAGGAAGGCACATCAAGCCAACCTTGATCAGGACTGCATTCCACCTGGAAACTGATTCCCTCACTGTGGAAGAACATGTGAGTCAAAAATAGGTCTCTACAGCCACCTACGTATCCAACATAGGGCCATTACCCTCAGACTACGAGGTATTGTTTAAGTAAGTAAATCATCTCTCGGTGGGGCACCACAAATAAAATGTAGTGTTATACTTGTTATTGTTGTTATCCTGTGAGTCAGTTGTTTGGTAGCTTTTGTAGTCCGTTGCCCATTTTAAAAGGCGTCCTTGCTGATTCTAAGGCTGAATTCTGGGACCCCGAAGCCTGAAGCTAATATAAGACTGGTCATTTTGGGCCTGTCCCTTTTGGACCCTGACTCTGCCTGTTGCTGGAGCACACTGTGCAAGAACTGACATCTTACATGGCCCCAAGAGGCCCCGATCCTTGTCTCAGGACCCCAAACCTCACTTGGAGGACCCAAGCTCACCCTCTGGAGGGACACCTGGCCACCCTCGATCCGGACACGGTGGAGGCAGAACCTGGAGGCAGAGGAGTAGGCGATCCACCCGCCGCAGGGAGAGAGGCAGCTGCTGCCAATGTGCTCCGGACCCTTGGAGAGAAGGAGATGGACAGAGAGAGACGCTCAGACAGACAAGTTAGCCCAAATCCCATTCCGGAGGCCTTAGACAAAGTCCTGCAAACCCCTCAGACTGCTTCTACACAGGAATTTAACAACAGTAGTTCCCAGCCTTTGGCCCTCTAGGTCAGGCATGGGCTGAAGTTGGCTCATGCCCACCTTTAGTGTTTTGAATTTCAACTCTCAGAAATCACATCCATTTTACTCACTATTAGTGATTGTGGGAGCAGAAGTCCAAAATATTGATTTTAAAGATTTGGTGTGGGCATGCCTGTTTACAAAGAAGCTGCAAAAGAGAGGGGAATGATGAAAGGCCTCAGTGTGAGGTAAGCCTCAGTGTTAGAAGGCTTCAGCATGAGATGGTCTTATGTGTGAAGCTTCAGTGTGAAGGCTGCTGTGTGTAAAGCTACTGTATGAAGTTCCTGTGTAAGGAAGCAAAGAAGGAAGTATAAATAACTTTATTAGTGTTATGGAAACTTTGTTCTTGTAAATAGTGCAACCATATTGTTTTACTACAAAGCAAAGCTTCCCATGGAAGAGATAACATTGGTCTGTGTGCTTTTGTTCTTTTTATCACATTGGGCTACTAGTGCTGGGTCATGCTGCTGCTAATAAGTTACTCTGCTGTGCATTTATAAGAAGGGTCTTTGTTAATAAGCCCACTCACCCAACATTCCTCACCCTTCATCAGGCCTCAGTGTGAGGTAAGCCTCAGTGTTAGTAGGCTTCAGCATAAGAAGGCCTCATGTATGAAGCTTCAGTGTGAAAGCTGCTGTGTGTAAAGCTACTATATGAAGCTCCTGTGTAAGGAAGCAAAGAAGTATAAATAACTTTATTTGCGTTATGGAAACTTTGTTCTTGTAAATAGTGCAACCATATTGTTTTACTACAAAGCAAAGCTTCCCATGGAAGAGATAACATTGGTCTGTGTGTTTTTGTTCTTTTTATCACTTTGGGCTACTAGTGCTGGACCATACTGCTGCTAATAAGTTACTCTGCTGTGCATTTATGAGGAGGGTCTTTGTTAATAAGCCCATTTGCCCAATATTCCTCACCTTCCATCAGGGACTTGTATGTTGTGACTTCCAAGAGTGACACTTTGGATCTTATCTAGAATTCTTACTTATGGCAGTGATCTGGGCCTCCATCGTCAGCGATGAGTCCAACACAACCCCAAGGCTTTTAACAGTGGCAGACGGAACCAGAGCTTCCCCATCGAAATCAGGCAGAGACTTGATTAATTCTGGCGGCTGGCCAGGCCAGAGGATCTCAGTTTTAGCAGGATTCACTTTCAGTCTGCTCGCTCGCAGCCAATTATCACTGCTTCCAAACACAGCCTAAAGTTCTCAGGAATCGCGGTTGTCCCAGGTTCGAGATGCAAGAGTAGCTGGGTATCATCTGCATACTGGTAGCACTCTATGCCAAAGCTCCGCACCAGTCCAGCAAGCGGCCGGATGTAGATGTTAAATAACAGGGTCGAGAGGATAGCACCCTGGGGAACTCCACAGCAAAGGCAGGAGCTCTCAGAGCTTTGGCCTAACCACTTCAACTCCCACATGTACATATAATATTGATCATAGTATTGTAATATAATACTACTAATAATACAATGTAATAATATAATAATTATATATTATATGCTACATGTAACATTACTAATAATATTGCAGTATAGTGGTATAGTACAAAATAGTAATATATGACACTAGTATAGTACTATGCTAATACTATAATATATTGTATGTACATATAACTTGTAAGCCACTCTGAGTCCCCTTCAAGGTGAGAAGGGTAGGATATAAATGTTGTAAATAAATAAATAAAACCCTTCACCTTGGCCTTGAGCTGCAAGAGGTGCTCCGGAGGACGAGACACAGGGAGGACGTCCCCTGCTTTTCCTGCAGAGAGAAAGGAAAGACCCCATTGGATCACAAGAGGAAAAGAGCCCACAGTTCTCCCCCCTCCCCAAGGCAGGTGCCTCTCTTCCTCTCACCTGTGGCATCAGTGGCTCCAAGGCGCCACAGCTCCAGGTGTTGCGGGTACTGGAAGAGGAGGAGGTGGGGCTTTCGCGCAAAGGACACCAGGCACCTCTACAGGAAGAAGAAGAGAAGTGAGGGTGACTTTCGAGGAGGGAGTTCTGAGGCATGAGCTCCCAAATGGTTGGAAATGGGTGTGTTGGAAAGGAAGGGCAGGGCTTTGGAAACTCACATGAGGGAAGGTGATCTTCCGAAGGGCAGCCTCATAGCTCTTGAATTCCACTTTCTCCATCAGTGGTCGGATCACCAGTTGCCCGTCCAGCCCTGAGGAAGAGGAGGAGAGAGGAATGCTGGGGATCACGGGATGATAGAGGTGGAAGAGACCCCAGGGAACATCCAGTCCAACCCTACTTGTTTGTAATGTAGCCATCCATCTATGTATCAATCTATAATTCCCATAAAAATTGGAAGAGACCCCAGAGGCCACCCAGTCCAACCCTATCTGTTTGCGTGTGTTGTGTGTATATAGGCATCCATCCATCTATCCATCCCATAAAAATGGCAAGAGACCTCAAGGGCCATCCAGTCTAACCCTGTGTATCCATCCGTGTGTGTGTGTGTGTGTGTGTGTGTGTGTGTGTGTGTATCCCATAGAAACTAGAAGAGAGTCCAGGGACCATCCAGTCCAACCCTATGTGCGTGTATATAAATATGTATGTGTTTATTTCTATGTCTGTCTGTCTGTCTGTCCGTCCGTCCCTGGCCCCTGGAGTTCCTTCCAACTAGGATTTTATGATATCCATCCATCCATCCCACATTAGTTGGAAGAGACCCCAAGGGCCATCCAGTCCAACCCTTTGTATGCGTATGTATGTATCTGCCTGCCTGCCTGTGTGTCTGTATCTACCTACATAACTGTCTGTCTGTCTATCATGGGGTTGGACTGGATGGCCCTTGAGGTCCCTTCCAACTAGGATTCAATGATATCTATCTATCAATCACTGGGACTGTGGCACAGCTGGCTGAGAGTCAGCTTCATTAAGATCACTACTGACTGAAAGGTCATGAGTTCGAAGCCAGCCTGGGTCGAGTGAGCTTCCGACCAATTTGCGTAGCTTGCTGTCGACCTTAGCGGCCCGAAAGAGAATTGCATCTGTCAAGGTGGAAATTTAGGTACCGCTTATGCGGGGAGGCTAATTTTCAACACCATAAAAATTTCCAGCAAGCATGCAAAGAATGAGGAAGTACATCATCAGTGTCACAAACAGACAGTGAAGCGACAGATCCCTGGTGGTCAAAATACCCTCATGAAAAATCTGGAATGTTAAATAGCCTCTATGTGTCTGTCTATATATGTTTTGTGTCTATGGCATTGAACGTTTGCCATGTATATGTACACTGTAATCTGCCCTGAGTCCCCTGCAGGGTGTGAAGGATGGAATATGAATACTGTAAATAAATAAATATCCATTCATCCCAAATTAGTTGGAAGAGACCCCAAGGGCCATCCAGTCCAACTCCTTTCTGCCACGCTGGATGGCACAATCAAAGCCACTTTGACAGATGGCCATCAAGCCTCTGCTTAAAAACCTCTGGAGAAGGAAATATCCGTCCTACATATTCCACTACTGAACAGTTCTTAAAGTCAGGAGATCCTTCCTAATATTTAGGTGGAATCTCTTTTTGCTGCAATTTGCATCCATGCCTCCGTAATTGAATATGGGCCAATTCCCAATGGCAAACAGCGCCACCTGGAGGCAGCAAAGATAAAATAGAACATACACCCCCCTCCATTATTTTCTAGTGCAGGTATAGGCCAACTTCAGCCTTTTCTAGTGCAGGTATAGGCCAACTCCCTACCTCCAGGTGTTTTGGACTTCAACTCCCACAATTCCTAACAGCCGGTAGGCTGTTAGGAATTGTGGGAGTTGAAGTCCAAAACACCTGGAGGGAGGATGGAAGTTGTCCCATGCCTGGTCTGCAGGAAAGTATTGGGTCCATGACACTCTGACCCCAAGCGGTTGGGTTGGGACTCTTACCTCCGGAGAAGAACGCGGTTGCGCTGTGGGCCACTGTCCGGACGTCATGCGTGTGGTGATGGAACTGCCGGGTGCGGACCCACTGGAGCTCGGTATGGCCCAGGCGGGCTGGGAGAAGCTGGAACTGGATGACGGTGCCCTCCGAGGTGCCCACCACAAGGCTGTCCCCCGCCTGAGAGGAAGAAGGGCAGCTGAGAGAAGGAAAAAGGCCCAACAGAGTAGAACAAAGGCTGCCTTTCTCCAGGTAGACAGAGAAGGCAACACCCAATTCACAGGCCAAAGCCATGCAATGAAGACGAAGGAAGAGGGACAAAGATCATAGATTTGGAAGGTACCCATCCAATCCAACCTCCTCCTACCACAACAGAAGACACCACCTAAGCTCTCCCGACAGATGGCCATCCAGTCTCCACTTAAAAGACATCCATCACACAAAATCCACAGCCAAATAGCTCTGAACAACAGTGGATTCTTCCTAATGTTTAGGCCAATGTTTCTTAAGCTGGGGGTCGGGACCCCTGGAAGGGTTAAAGGGGGGGGGGGGGTTTCAGAGGGGTCACCAAAGACTATCACGGTGTTCTCCAGAGGTGGGTGAACTACATCTCCTCTAAGTCACTGTCAATTCATCCCAAATTTGTCCAGTATTTTCTATTGGTCATGGGGGTTCTGTGTGCCAAGTTTGGTTCAATGCCATCATTGGTAGAGTTTAGAATGCTCTTTGATTGTACGAGAAATAAAGGTTGCTTACCTGTAACCGTATTTCTTCGAGTGTCAGTCCGTGAAATCCGCACCTATGGGTTCTTCCTTGCGCATGCGCAGAAACTCGGAACATTTCTAAGTTAAATGAATTAAAAATGATTATTTTGAGCCATATAGGCTCCGCCCATCTCCCCGCCCCCCGGATATAAGCGCCAAGCGGCGCCGCCATTATCTAGTTCCTAGCGCTAAACAGCGGCCAGGAGAATGGCATGACAGAGGGGAGGACGGGCGGGTCGTGCGGATTTCACGGACTGACACTCGAAGAAATACGGTTACAGGTAAGCAACCTTTATTTATTCTTCGTGTCGTCCGTGAAATGCGCACCTATGGGTGAATAGCAAGCTACTGACCTGGAGGTGGGTCATGCCACACAGGAGAAAAGAACTGCTCTGCCGAAGCCGGCATCTTGCTTTGCTTGTATGTCAAGCTTGTAGTGAGAGGCAAACGTGGACGGTGTAGCCCACGTAGCTGCTTTGCAAATTTGGTCCAAGGGAACTCCCTTGAGAAATGCTTGAGATGTGGACACAGCGCGTGTTGAATGTCCCACCAGGTGGGATGGAGGGTCCTTCCCTGCGAGTTGGTAGGCTAGACGGATCGTCGCAACAATCCAGGAGGCTAGTCCTTGGGAGGACACAGGGTGGCCAAGTACGTCTTTCCTGTATTTCAAAAACAATCTGGGAGACTTCCTATAGGTGGAAGTCCTATGTAAGTAAAAGGAAAGTGCTCTTTTAACATCAAGGGAGTGCAGAACTACCTCCAACTGGGAGGATGGGTTGGGGAAAAAGTTTGGTAGAACAATGTCTTGCGACATATGAAAAT